GAATGTTTACAATTTTGTATACTAAATGTTCACAATTTACATACTGAACGTTCACAATTCAAATTTAAACATTCAGTATGTAAATTGTCAATCATTATACCCTGCACCACGGAGCGCATAGCACCGTGCGCCCCGCGCCTCCCAATTATGTGTATTTGTTTATGTAGGGACTTGACGCGATTATGTGTATTTGTTTATAAATTATGTGTATGTGTTTATACAATTATGTGTATTTGTTTATACAATTATGTACATTTTTTATACAATCATGTACATCTTTTTTATACAATTATGTACATCCGAAACATGAAATTTATGTATATTATGTTAAGAGTTGATGTTTATTATGTTAAAAGTTTATGTATATTATGTATTATGTTAGATTATATGTATTATCTTTTTTTTTTTAAAAAGTATGTGTATTTTGTTATACAATTATGTACATTTATGTATACAATTATGTGTATTCTAGTATAAAATTATGTACATTTGTGAACCTGAGATTTTTTTTAAAAGAAAAATAACCGTCAACACAGGGTAGTGAAATTTCAAAAAAAAAATTACAAAAAAAAATCTGTAACTACATCGTTTTGCATCAGGGCGCATAATGCAATGCGTGCCCTGGTGACTGGTATTTGTCATAAATTGTAAACATTTAATATATAAATTGTATATTTTGATCTAAGTCCACCTTACAAGATGGACCCAGATCCATGGCATAACTCTCCTGTTGAGATTCAGATCCAATGACATGTTCAAATTTAACTTGGAGGCCTACTAAAGGCACTCAAAGGCCCAATAACAAGAATTCGAACTAAGAAGATCCAATAAGTTTTCAACCAATCGTTATACCCTGCGGCAAACGATGATGTACATCCATGTGCATCCATTCTGAATGCCGCGCGTTCTACCCTGCGGCAAACGATGATGTGCATCCATGTGCACCATGGTGCACACGGATACAAAAACAACGTCGTTTTGATTAAAAACGCGCGTTCCACTTAAAAATAATCCAGTTTCAATTCCTAGCAACAACATTATGTTGTTCATTCATTCTGAATTTTTAGTTATGAAATTATGGATGTGTAGTTATGCAATTCTGGATTTATAGTTATGAACTTATGGATGTGTAATTATGCATGGTGTAGTTATGCAATTCTGGATTTATAGTTATGAAGTTATGGATGTATAGTTATGCAATTCTGGATGTATAGTTATGAAGTTATGGATGTGTAGTTATGAAGTTATGGATGTATAGTTATGCAATTCTGGATTTATAATTATGAAGTTATGGATGTGTAGTTATGCAATTCTAGATGTATAGTTATGAAGTTATAAATGTGTAGTTATGCATGCAATTCTAGATTTATAGTTATGAAGTTATGGATGTATAGTTATGCAATTCTGGATTTATAGTTATGAAGTTATGGATGTGTAGTTATGCAATTCTGGATGTATAGTTATGAAGTTATGGATTTTTTTTTAAAAGTCGACGTCAAAACGACGTCATTTTTGCATCCGTGTGCACCATGCATGGTGCACAGCAATGCAGCATAACGCTCCATACCCTACACCACGGTGCACTAGCACTGTGCACCCCGCGCCTCCCAAAATGACGTTGTTTTGGTAAGTTATGTAGGGAGTTGACGTGATTATGTGTATTTGTTTATACAATTATGTGTATTTTATTTATACAATTATGTGTATTTGTTTATACAATTATGTACATTTTTTATACAATTATGTACATTTTTTTTATACAATTATGTACATTTTTTTTTTATACAATTATGTACATCCGAACAGGAAATTTATGTGTATTATGTTAAGAGTTGATGTTTATTATGTTAAAAGTTTATGTATATTATGTATTATGTTAGATTATATGTATTATCTTTTTTTAAAGAAGTATGTCTATTTTGTTATACAATTATGTAAATTCATGTATATAATTATGTGTATTCTAGTATAAAATTATGTACATTTTTGAACATGAGATTTTTTTTTTAAAGAAAATTAACCGCCAACACAGGGTAGCGAAATTTAAAAAAAAAAAAAAATCTGAAACGACGTCGTTTTGCATCAGAGCCCACAATGCAATGCGCGCCCTGGTGCAGGATATAAATTGCCGTTTTCAACTTGTACGCTTATGCTAATTGATGAGTTTTAAAGGTGAACCGAAAGTTCAATCATTATATCATGCACCAGGGCGTACAATGCATTGTACGCCCTAACCAAAAATGACGTTTTTATAAATTGTATGGAGAGTTGACGCGACAGACACCGTTCTGTCCGTCCAATCCCGTTATAATTTTTTATTTATTTATTTTTATTCTACACTTGTGTTTTATGTGTATTCTGTTAAGAGTTTATGTGTATTCTGTTAAGAGTTTATGTGTATTGTGTATTATGTATTATGTATTATGTTAGATTATGTGTATTGTATTAGGAGTTTATATATATTCTATTATACAATTTTGTACATCCGAAACATGAATTTTTTAATTTTTTTTTTAGAAATTAGCAGCAAAAATGAGAAACAACGTCGCACAATATAATTTGCCCAGAGAATTGGACCCCAAAAAAAAAAAAAAAAAAAAATTTTGAGAACAAATGAATTAATCTACTTTAAAAAAGAGTTTACTATGCAAACTCCCCAATTTTATCCCACTAATCAAACTTCATAATGTGACAATTATGCATAATGCATTTTTATTATGTGAGTCATGAGAAAAGTTGTTGGCCGCGCACCACAACGTCTAGTGACCATGAAATGTGTGGATCATAGTATATTTTTATCGGATATCACATAAATTCAAACTTATGACCTCTTGCATGGAGTTGACTTTAATACTAAATTGAAACATATGCATAATTTTGAATTCTTTTGTGTAATCATCTAAGGATCGTGATCCTTTCTTGATGATTATCAGTATATTTTTCAAAAGATCTTCCTTTTCAATTGTGATTGGCAGCATTTGTTCTTCTAAAGAACTCCACACAACGTAGGCAATACCATCTTCTGCAATGGATGATTGAGTTTCTTCTTTTATTGTGAACAAGCAACCATGAAATAAGAAGACATCATTTGTTAACCACAAAGTATAGGTTGGATTCACAATTCCATCTTTTAGCAAACGTTCAAGTTTGTCATCATTCTTTTCCAAATGATGAAGCATGCCGAGACTACGAGTCAGATGAAGGATTTGTGATCGCCATATGAGATAGTTATTGGAGCCTAGTTTGATTGAAATCTGGCACACTGATGAAATGATTGTAATATAAGCTTGGGTTCTTCCCTAAAGGATTAATAAGAAAACGGAAGAACTGGACTCTTGATACTTGTAAGTTTCAAGTCTCTAATACCATGAAAACTTCTTATAAACTTAATATTTTATTTAATTGTTGTGTATTTTTCATAAATACATACAAAGAGAAATGAGAATTAAAAAGGCAAAATAGCAAGATACAAGCTGTATACTATATTAACTCCTTGATTATAGGCATGAGTTGATGAGAATGATTCTTTTGAATATTTCATTGATTTTCTGTAACTCTTTGATTATAGGCATGAGTTGATGGAAATGATTTTTTTGATTTTCTGCACTGATATTGTTTTCGTCGTCTCTGTGAAATATTTTGTTTCCTCAATTAGCTTTTCTTCCTTATCACTATTGTTGTTCGAAATTAGCACCAATATAAGTTAAACAAACAAACCTTAGGTTATATCATATTCCTTAAAACTGAAAATCATATTTATTGAAATTGTGAACAATGTTCAAACTTTGGTTGATTCTTTATTCATTAAGAAATTTCTATTTATTTTGCACTAGGGAGTCTTTAGTTTCTAATCTTCAAAGGATCTCTTCAGAAAGTTCATTGAATCATTCTATCCCTGATGTTAATGTAGTATAGCCTTTAATACATAAAAACATGCCTGTTTAGCAGACATTAAGGTTTAGTTCTTCATCATACACAAAAGTCTATTTCTTTTGAGTGACAAGAGAAATCAGTAGTCACTACCTGTGCACGGAATAAACCCCGCCTTGTGATCCTAACTAGCAAAATACCTCTTCAGAAAGTTCATTAAATCATTCTATCCCTGATGTTAATGTAGTATAGCCTGTAATATACATAAATACATGCCTGTTTAGCATACATTAAAGGTTTAGTTCTTCATCATACACAAAAGTCTCTTTGTTTTCTTTTTTCTTTTTTTGAGCGACAAGAGAAACCCTGATATAACCATGATCATGGGGCACTTATTATTATTATTATTATTATTATTATTATTATTATTATTATTATTATTATTATTATTATTATTATTATTATTATTATTATTATTGTGGTAGAAGTAGTAGTAGTGGGATGACCACTTCCTTAGGTAGTTAGAGTAGTTTAAGGTAGTGGGGTAGTTAGAGTAGTGGTTAGTTTTATTATGTGTATAAATAGGTATCTATGTATTTGAAGAAGGGGATATTTGGGAAATTTGTATTTTGGGCTTCATATTGAATGGAAGATTGGGGGAGAAGAAGCACTCCACAAAAAACGCTTCATTTGGGGGAGAAGAAGCACTCCACAAAAACGCTTCATTTGGGGAGACGAAGCACTCCAGAAAAGCTTCATTTTGTATTCCTAAGTTTCTATGCCTGTGACGCGATCCTAGCCTATAACAAACCCGTAGTCACTACCTGAGGGTCTGCACTGGGTACCCTGCCTTGTGACCCTAGCCGACAAAGGACCACAAGGAGATAAACCGGCCTAAGTTGCCCATAGGTCATAACTGACCGACTCAAACCAAGAATAGGTTGTTCCCACTGAAAGTCGAACTTGTAACATTGTGGTTACCAAGTCAACAACCTAACCAACTTAATATACAAAAACCTCTTCGTTAATATAAGGTATATATAGTATAGTATACATATTATAAACAATCATATGTGAAAGAGATTGCCAATAGAACTCAAAAAACAAAAAATATGTGAAAGAGATTGGCATTTGGCACCTCCAAATGAATCAATAAATAAAGGGGGGTGAAATTTAGATGCATCTTTGTATCAGTAGGTGTATAGTTATTTACAGCTTAGAAGTTAAGATTTGCTGTTCATAAATCTGTGTACACAAAGTCACTGCCATGCAAAATCTGCAAGTGCATCCTCGAGAATCCCACCTAAGACGAGCTTCTCCATGTCAGCCACTACATTCTCAACTTCGTCGTAAGTGAACCCTTTCCTCCAACCCAAATCCCACGCCCCGCTAACTGCTACGTTGCACTGCAGATCTCTCTCGACCAATGCAAAAAGGGTGTCTGCAGAAAGAGTTGCAGTAATAAGATCCTTGTAGCTTCTCAGAGTTTCTATCCCGTCACAAATTTCACCCACCAACTTGTCTAGCGAGATATGTTCTTGTGACCTAATAGCTTTCTTCTGCAACTTTTTGCTCTCTAGTAATTCACTTGCACAATCCAGTAAGAGTTTAGTCTCGGGGGTTTCGTTGTGTGAGCTATCGGGCTTCAACTCTACAGGTTGCCATGCATAAATATCGAAAAGCTCTTCAGCATGACTGAGGAAAGATGTACTGCTTAGAAGCAAATTCTTTATAGTATCGGCTTCGAGGTTTGATTTGGGACCGATGCAATACTGATCACATTCCTTGGAGACACAAGAAAGACTTTCAGCTTCACTGTGATCATCTGCAACCAACAAAGCAAATTGTTATCACATTGGGTGGATACAAATTTCTCCGAGAAAAATCTACTGGAAATCCAATTTCACCTATTGGGATAAACAGCTATGCAATAGGTGATCATTCTTTTTTTTTTTTTGGTCAGACCACAAGGTGTCCTAACCAGGCCCTAACTGTAGGATGCACTTTTAAGCCCGTACCATACTTAGACTAATCCCCGTTTGCATCGGGCCGGCCCAATTAAGGGGCAAAGTACTGGCCAGATTAATTTTTCTATACGAGAGGGGGTTCAAACTCCCGACCTTTCTTAAGGGACAAGAGTGCATGGCCACTCACGCCAACCAAGCTGGTTAGGTGATAATTCTTTTATTCAATTAAAGATGTGGAAAACCCCAATGGAGGCTTTATTTACTAAGCTTTCCACTCGACTTTTTCCACACTTGTATACTAGCAAGGATATGCAAAGTGAGTATGTGATTTGGACCAATCAAGAATTTTCATAAAGCTATATGTCTAATGCATACTTGCCCGAAAAAAAAAAAAAAAAATTACTTAGACCACACACTAAAGGTAGATGAACATTGGCGACTTTTATCATTGATGCAAAGTAATGGAAAAACCGGCTTACCAATGATGAGAGTCTGGGAAACATCACACACTTCCTCAAGATGGAGCTTTTCTGGCACTTCATCGTCATTTTCTGTTTTATCAGTCTCTTTCTCGGATTTAAGGTTTATCTGTGCTTTATTGTCTCCCAGATTCTCAACCTGCTTCAACATTAGACATCAGTGTGGACCAACAATAAAGCTGTTATCCAAATAATGGTCTGCTATTAAGGACGAAGATCTATTCACTAATGGAGAAATATGGAAAAATAATTTTTAAAAATGGTTGACTATGAAAATAGGAAACAAGTTCCCTGAAGAAAATATGGTAGAAATTTAAAATGTAGTAGGAAGATGAACTCACAATAGGTACAGAGAAATTTCTTTCGGGCTTGTCAGTTTTTTTCATATGCTTCTTATTTTTGGAGTTACGAGACACAGCAGCATGATTTAGAGTAAGATTTGAGGCCATGCTCTTTTGCTGAGTAACTTGTTTTTGCGATATATTTGGCACAGTCTCCTGTTTCCTAAGCTTGACAGAGGTCACCTTCTCTAAGCCATGCGGTTTAACGGCCTCCCTAAATTTCACATTCTTCATTTCTTCTTTCCTCGTTTTAGGAGCTATCTTTTGAATCTTATCAACCCTTTTCTCGATAACTTCTTTCTTCTCTTGCCCCCTAGGCTTCGCAGGATTGATTGTTCTATTAGAAGATAGTTTTCCCGTAATCCTGATCCCACTGTCATTTGAACTTGCTAGTTTAGCCCCTCCTTCACGCGTAGAATTGGTCACTTCAGTTTTTTCTGCTCTCGAGTTTTTCTTGACAGCGAGACTAGGAGCTCCTTTTGGCTGTCCGGTGGGTTCAGTTGTGAATTCTTTTCTTTTCCAATTTGTAGGCATATCTTTGGGGTTCACAGAATATTGGGGCTTCATGATCACAATGGGTTCACAATATTGATCAACTTCGTTTTCCAAATCTGAGACAACGGGCTGATGGATTCCATGCTTTGATTCGTAAAAAGGGGAGCTTTTTAGTAGCCCCTTGAATTGCATAGCCCCGATAATTTCTTCTAGAGTTCTTTGCTTTGTATCCATGTTCTCAATAGGGGGTTTCTTTGCCTTTGGCAAATCGATTTCGAATGCAGGTCTCGTCTGATTGGAAAGCCTGTCTTTCTCCATCTGTTTCTGGGAAGTGAACTGATGGGGCTGTGAAGGGATTTCCTCGAGACCCATCAGCTTTGCAATCAAATTCGGTGCTTTTGGTTTCAACGGTTGAGCCTTTGGGAGAGAGGTGCCAAAAGAAGAAAACTCGTGGGGTTGAAACACGGACGATTGGCTCGAGCTAGTAGAGGGGAGATCGGGAGATGAAAGCAATTGTCTTCTATCGAAACAACGCTTTTCATAAGAGGATTGGCTCGAGCTAGTGGATGGGAGGTCTGGAGAAAAGTCGAGTTCTCTACTTCCATAACTCGCCTTTTCTGGCAACAAGTTCTGTCTAGCAAAGCTGTCCCTTATCACCTCCCTTAGCTCATCGTAACAATCCCAAGACGCCCCTCCATCAATAGAATGTCTCGGTTTGTGGAACTCCATTTTGTACTTTTGATCCCCTACAATTCGTTCAGATTTAGTCCTTTCAACACCCGAGCTTCTCAACTCGCCTTTCCCACTCCTCTCTTTTCTTGGCTTGTTCTTTGCCATAAACTCCGAGGCCTCGTGCAACTTCTCGAGCATTTCAAGAGACTCCTGCAAATCGAGAGCTCCTTTCAACAAGTCCTTAGCAACCTCCTTCGACTTCCCGTCTAACCCACCTCCCTTCGACCACGACTCAATCACTCGACTCAGCTTCTGAGCTCCTCTCGATACCTCCATGAGCTGGACAGAACACGAGGCGTTTAACTCATCTGCAGACCCTTGGCACACCCTTTCTTCGCGTTCTTTCTTCACACTCATACCTTCACGAACTCCTCGTTTTACAAGCTTATCATCATCCACCATCTTCGGGAGCTCGGTCTTGGACCTCCTAATCCTATTGCATTCAACTACACCCCTAGGATCATCACACGTCAGAAATGATCTGTATAACACAGATCTCGGCCTGTCTTGTGGCATATTCTGTACTATTTCTATCACACAAATTTCATAGAAACATTCAAAGGCTTATTCAAATTCTGCCCAGTGGATTCACCTCAACACATATATATATATCTCAGCCAAGCTGTCAAAAGCTTGATATGATGATGTAGACACAAAACACAGCTCTTTTTCAATCTTCAGCTTTAAAATACTGAAAGCATAAAGAAAAATAACAAATTAGCCACCTTCCAAAAAAAGAAAAAAATATATATATACTTCAAAATTTCCATATACATCAGTGCTTTTGAAAGATTCAAAGAATTTAGTAACCAGCTTTCATTTAAACAAACACAAACAGGAACTCAAGAACATTATTAGAAAGATTGAAGAGAGCAATAATGGTGAAATCCAAAGCTTTAATGGATCTACAGACAAAAAGCTTGAGACAGACAAACCCAGAATCATTTGTGAATCAAGAAACAAGAAATGTTCTTCAAAAACAACAATCACTGGATGAATCAAGTACCTGACACACTCTTTTTTGGCTCCTGATGGATAAAAACAGAATCTTTGATCAACCCAATTCTCCTCCTTTCATACTACCTCAAATGCAAATGGATGAAAAAAGGGCTAAAGAATCTACAGACAAGGAAACCCAAATCAAAATCTGGTAAAACACACACTTTCTGCTCACCAAGTAGAAGAAATTAAGAAAAAGACCAACAACGTTTGTAGCATTTTAGTGCCTCACTTTAATTCTCACCTGCATTGCAGCTCTATCTTTGACTCGGAAACCTCAGATCCATCCCAAACGAATATATACTATATACAAATCCAAACTAGCATGTGAATCTTGACTTTCTATTCTCCATCCACTACAATATCTCCATGATTTCAAGAACTAAGACTTTTGGCCCCTTTGTTTAGCTTTTCTTTTTGGCTTTTTTTCACTAATATAATCCAGTGCTGTAATATAATGAGGGAATTAATGAACAAAAAAAATGTGGGTGGTTGTTACAGAAATTATGGTTTGTCTTATGTGGGAAAAGGCAAAAATCTGTCGGAAGCTTTGACGAGGGAAGGTCGGATCACAGATTACACACACAGAACACACTCCCTGTGTGCACAGTTGTACAATGAGGGAGAAATTGCCGTGAAAATGCCCGTGAAATCATTAAATATTCCACCCTTTTTAAGCTCCTTGGTCCAATCTGGGAGCTTATTCTCTTGGATACCTTAATAAATTGCTTCACGAGTCAGGCGGTAAACGTAAACCCTTCCTAATGTCTAAATTGAATACTATGCAATTAATAATAATAATAATAATAATAATAATAATATGCCCTGAATGGGACGATTTAGTGGGTGAAGCATGATTCTTGTATCAAATAAGTAACGGGTTTGATTCTTGAATTAATTAACTTTACCACAAGTTAAAAAGAACTCCCGTAGAGATGCAAACGAGTGGATCTCAAATCTAGGTCTGGTTTTAACATGTGGTAGAGTTAATTAATTCAAGAATCAAACCCGTTACTTATTTGATACAAGAATCATGCTTCACCCAGTAAATCGTCTCATTCAAGGCATAATATTCTTAGTTTCATTTTCCACACACTAGTTTCATTATAGCAACACTAAAGTATCATTTTAATTCTATTACAATTTCATTTGACGATTATGGTCCACATAGCACTGTTGACCATGGTTCACTGTATAACAATTGACTTTGTTCTATTGGTTCGAATTGAGTTAAATTAAAGTTCAAACTATATGTGTGTGTGTGTTGGGGAAGGACACTATTTAATGAGTTGGCTTGAATTCAAATTTGATCAAAGTTGAATCAAGCTGTGAACGGCTTGACTCATTTGCATCCCTAATTGGCCAGACAGATGTTTGAAGGGTTAATGTCAAGATCTTGTCATTGAAACGTAACATTAACTACCATGCAAGTGTATAAATAAAGTTGTTCATTCGCTATTAACTAGCTTTAAATTTTTGACGTGGTAATAAAAATTCGATTCAAAGTTACATATATTTATAATAGAAAGGTTAAGAACAAATTAAACAAATGCTCTAAGTCTAAGGTATATATTTTTGTTTGAGAAAATAATTCACTTTTTTATACTAAAAATATTTATCGATTTGGCAATTTTATAATATAAAGGATTTTGTAATTTAGTTAAACCCTTTGACTTATAAAATTGCCAACCACTTTTTTTTATTATTTTTTTTAAATGCGCAATATTTTTATTGTATGCACATTGTAACAACTTTAGTTGCACAATTAGATAAGCCTAGATTTAAAGAGTTAATTAATGTTAATATTTGTCCGAAGCAGGGCCGGATTTTAGGCTGTGCAAGCTGGGCTACCGCACAGGGCCCCTAATTTTAGAGGGGCCCCAAAATTTAGAGGTTCAATATTTAATTTTTACCTAGCTAGTTTAAAAATAAAAATTAAAAAGTTTTCAATTAAACTTTAAAGGTTTTATGAAGAGATGGTAAGAATGTGTATTTATTGTAATTTAACTTGGAGGTCAAAGGTTCGAAACTTGCATGTATTAGTTTTAAAAATTATGATTTTGGTAGGGCCACATTTATTTACTAGAACAGGGCCACCAAAACTTAAAATACGGCCCTGGTCCGAAGTATCATAGGGGTAATATACAACGATGATTAGATTGGAGGAGATAAAAATAGGATTTGGTAGGTTTACTTTGTCTTGTTCCTAAACACACTTTCGTCCATGTATAGTAGGCTATGTGTTATAGACACTAGATGTATTGCACAATTTATAGGAAAATCATAATTTTATCTTTGCAAATCTCATTTGGTATGGTGCAATGTGATTCATTATTCAAAATTGAACTATTATCAAACTCCATTTAAACAGGTTCTCAAAACAATTTTTAAAATTCAAGATATTTTTTTATAGACAAACCGCACTCATTGCATTATAAGTACAAAGGTTGAATACTTTCAATTAAAAAGACTAATCAATGCATAACTACTTCTAATGATGTTTAAAGTACTATTAAACAACTATTACGGATATAGGTAGCTGAAAGCTTAAAAGGAGCTGAAAGCTGAAAAGTTATAAGCTAAGAGCTGAACACTGAAGAGCTATTAAGCTAGTTGTTATATTTGAAAGTATTTGGTAAAATTAGCTTTTTGATAAGCTGATAAATGTAAAAAGACAAAAAATGACATTTTCATAAAATTTAAACTAGTTTGTTTAATTTAAATATGAAACTTTAACATTTTATCTTTAAAAATATTAACATTTTGAAATAAAATTATTAGTATAATCATGATCTAGCATCCTGAAGTAGCAATATTGTTGCGAATCTCTTCATCTCATAATAATAATAATAATAATAATAATAATAATAATAATAATAATAATAATAATAATAATAATAATAATAATAATAATTGTGGTAAAAGTTGCGGATAAAGGAGAAGAGAAAATGATTTTAATTGAAAAGGGTAGATGATGTCATTTCTTTAAAATAATGAGGACAAAGATGAAAAAAAAAATTAGGAAGCTACTAGCTTATTTTGAAACGCTACTTTGTCCAAAATAAGCTCTTATTTCAAGCTAAGAGCTTATTTTGGGAACTTACCCAACAGAGTTTATAGCTTATTAGTAGTTTAAAATAAACTATAAGTTCCTAAATAAGCTCTGTCAAACAAAGCCTACATCAAGAGATGATTTACAAATCATATTAACTACCTTAATTTATGGAATTTCAACCTTAATTATGGAATTTCAATGTACAAATGCACATTAATGCATACACATCACTGTCACAAGTTGTGTAATATTTACTATGTTTGCTTGGAAAGTAGGTAAGATAGACTATACATGATAAATGCCATACCATATGATGGTTGTATATAGACTGCGATAGTTATTTATTATAATATACTGAGTTTAAGTTAGTAATTAAAGTGAAATTTTAGTAAAATACTCCGTATATTTATAACAAGATTGACCCCGTAATGAAAATAGTTTTTAAGAAAATTACATTAATTGTAGTCGTACTGTAAATTTAGAGTTGATCAACGATTTGGTCCCTCAATTATTAGCAAACTGTCAATGTAGTTTCTCAATTGCTTATTCATTGATTTGATCCCCGAAAACAATTATTTTTAGTCGATTTAGTCCGGCCGTCGATTTAGTCTCCGAAAATAATTATTTTTAGTCGATTTAGTCTCTCCGGCCGTTGACGGAAGACGGCCTGAGGGACTAAATCAACTAAAAATTATTATTTTCGGAGACCAAATCGATGAATAAGTGATTGAGGGACTACATTGACAGTTCGCTAATAACTGAGGAACCAAATCGTTCATTAACTCTATTTCTTTAATAATCAAGTTTTTATAGTGAACTATCATATTTAATGCTTGACATTAAGGTCTCATTAAAATCATAAGAATGAAATTCATCACTTTACTGAAAACTCAAAAATTAAACGGGTATTTAGTTGAAGACTTAAAAGGTAATTGTAATTATATTATTTTCCTCCCTAACTTTAAAAAGTAGAAATTTTTCACGATTTAGTTGGAAGGAGTTAGAAATTTGAAATTTTTTCGTCATGTGGAATTGGAACTTCTAACCCCCTCCCCCCTCACCCCTCTCCCGTCAGGATTTTTAATTCAATGGAGGTTGGGAAGGAAAATGGAGCTATCTGATCAAGACAAAAATACCCTTCCCCTAAGTAATTAATTAATAGGTCTGGTATGAAACGATCTCATGTAGACGTATAATACTTTTTATATAAAATATATGGAGTAATTAACTTTTTTTTTTTGAAAGAATAAAATCAATTCATTAAATCATAAGTCAAAATATCCACAATGAACAAAGGCGGTGCATGTAGCCACTCGCCACAACCTGATTCAGAAACGGCTCCGGCCTCTAACAACAATATAGGCAGCACGATTTACAGATCGTTTAACAAATTGGAAACATATATCAATAGAAAGTATTAGATATCTCACATAGACGGTTTCACACAAAACATACTATTCTAAATTAGTTTTTATTTATTTATGAATTATTATATTATTATAATTATAATTTACTCTATTTTGTTATACTATTTTTAATGTAATTAATTTTACTTTATAATGTATTATAAAAATGTTATAATAATAGTAATAATATATTATTATTATTAACATCATTCTTATTATTGAATTTATTTCATTTTAATTTATTATACCATTATTTTTATAATGCATTGATCGACATTTTGATTTTTATACTTTTTTTTTTTTTTTTTTTTTTTGTGTATCAAGGGTTTCCACCGTCGAACACAATGACTAATCCCCTCGGTGAATTGTAGGCACCTCTTTTGGGTGGAACAGCTGGCCTGGAAATTTAAGGCTGCTCCATACCCAAAGCCAAGGATCGTCGAACCATTAACCTTCATTTAAGGATGAATGAATCCCTTCCACTGAACCACAACCTTCAGTAATCATGCATGCATGTCAATCATGTAATTAAATACTAAAATAAAATTCTTTCAAAAAAATACTAAAATAAAAATTTATAATAATTATATTCCTTCAACCGAATAATATTTCCTCTCAATAATAATACAATGTTAAAAAGATTCAACAATCGTTACAATTTTCAAGTACTGAATTACTAAAACACCTTTATATTATTTATTTATTTGGTTATTTATGTTTTCATATAAAATAATAATAATAATAATAATAATCTAAAAAATCTTCTATAAAATTATTAAATTTATGTCAATGATTATTATAGGGTTTTTGCAATGTCCCATCCATGGACTACTTGAAATTGTATTGCATGCAAGAGGGGGTACCTAACAACCATTAATGATTAATAGACTAAAATGCCGTAAAATTAAATGATGTTATCCTTTTCACCTACCATAGGAAACTATTTGAGGGCAACTCGAACTAGATTATTTGAATTATTGATTTTGCGGCCACAATATTTTAACTTTTATTTTTTTGTAAAAATTATTTATTAACCTTCTTGATTTGGATTGATCCATTATAGACAACATATGTTGATTTACTTCTTTGTAGTATTTTGTCCAGTTAGGATCACAAATAGCGATTGCGAGCTTTCTCATAAGAGAAAATTTCAATTTTGGTCCACTGACTATTGGGGTTGTGTTAATTGCAACACTTGACTTTTAAAAATGTTAATTGAGTACCTTGACTATGCAATTTCT